TACGGATGAGTCTACCGCCCTTCCGGCTAAGACAAATGGGGGGCATAGAACGAGTGGAGCAGGCAGTGACTGCCGTAACGAGGCTAAATTTCGGCGAAGCATTAATGTATCGAGAATACTACCGGGTCTTTCTAGAGATGGGGCCTTTCGGGGACGAACAGGGGCGCGAGGTGCTTTGCATTCTACAAACAGTGGTAAATACTAGGCCGGGAATCCCCCAAATAAGTGATGAGACCAGTGGGGGGTCATCCGGCGAGAGGTAGGTCGGGGCGCGACCTGCATAGATGATCTCTACCGGGTGTACGAACACCCAGAGGAGACTACTGCTCCCGGGGGTATGGAGGGATAGTTGGAACTAGAAAAGAGGAATGAAAACACGAAGGGCAAGGGGGCAGTAGGTGGACGGTTTCTAAGGATTGGTTGTAACACCTTCTATGTGGATCATGCAGGAAATCACCAAGGTAACCATGGCAGCAAGACGTGATCATATGGAATTTCAGGCCCGTGTGCGAATGGCGCGCCAACCCCGGTACCCCGGACCGCCGTGGAATAACGGTAGGCGCTGGGAAGTATCCCTCCCATCGAGTTCAACTTATTGAGGGTTCGATATAAAATGGCGGGTTGTGACTTTGGGGAGGGACGCCGCCTTCATGTTGGTAGAATGTCGGTGGACAGGGATGAGACTCGACCGAGGACCCGGGGACGATCTGTTTTCCAATCTGGAAGTTACCGTGACCACGTATCTACCTGAGATCGGTTGACACTCGTTGGGGGTAGAGATAGCACAAGGTCACAAGCTGGCGCCGGTTTTTCAAAGGGCCGCCCGGACGTTGACCCGGATAGGACAGTCAGTCAGGGGTAGAAGGAGCGTGTGCTTGTTAACCCGGGTGGAGATGGGAGGTTGGAGGGAGTTCAGGGCACCAACCACACCGCTGAGGTGCCGGGTTCCCCGTTTTATGATAGACCTTGTCTTCAGGAGCCTCGCAAAGGCGCGGGAGCTGGAAGACTCGGCAATAATGTGGGCAGACCACTTTCCCTCTCTGACCATCGGGATGTTCTATGATATCGCTGTGGAACATGGGCTGTTATGGGGAAACAGGGCCCACGAGTTACTGGAGGTCATCCATATCCTAATATTTTGTGCGCCCTGGCTAGACCAGACAGGGCACGAACGCATAATCCAAAGGGAAATCGAGATAGGAGAGAGCTATTTGGCAGGGGTGGTTGAGCTATTCGAGGAGCCGACCGAACCGGAAGAACCACGAGGGCGCGAGCGGGATTAGGATCCGCAGGCAGGCCAATAGGGCAGATCGAGTATAGTTCGCTGCGTACGGAAATTCACCGATGAGAATAAGAAAGGGGGCCTCGGACCCGGATGGCTAAAACCCATTAGGGAAACAAAGAAGGGGGTAGACTCCTAATGATTGACCACAACCCTGAAGGTCAAAAATAGGAAACACTGCTTGGAAAGTCTTTCCCTAGCAGAATGCCTAACCCTGACTCCCTCGCATCGGCCCGACAGGACAAGGGCACTACAAACAGGCTTGTGATAAAGGAAGCCAAGTCACGCTCATAGCTTGGCTGAGTGGCAGGGCCAGTCGTGGCTCCTCCTTAAGGAAGGGCAATCAAGAAACGAGGATGGGAAAGGAGGCTATACAAATAAGCCAACAGGGCTGGGAGCCTAGGAAACCTAAAATACCTCGCATTGCGTGTGTCCTGGGAATTCTTTGGCTTATGCAGAACTAGGCAAAATGGCAATGGAGGAGGAAACAGATAATCATAAGACTGAAGGAGAACCGGGCTTAGGAGGCAGTGCCGCACAAAGCGAAGGGGGGCAGAAGGACAGAGAATCGATAAATCCGGATGGTACCAAAGGGAACCGGAAGGAGATCTCCACAGGGGAAAGCTCGGGGAAAGCTGGGGGAAGCAGGCAGGGGACTTAGGGGACCAAGGAAGGCAGGAATAAGGATAGGACAAGCCCCGGGAACTCGGAAGGAGCCGTGTCTAAGAAAGTAAGAGTCACGAATACGAGGCGCAGACTAGCCGAGATAGACAAAAGGGTCGCGGAATACAAGGTGAGATTGATTGAGGAAATGATGACTGGGAACGAAGAAGGCTCTCTGCAGGAGGAACCCCGGGACGAACGGAGAACCGGCCGAGGTGGGACCGGACAAGGCGATAAAGGTAGTGACCGTGGGGGAACACCGAGCAAAAGAAGAAAAGAAGGGGAGAACTCTCCGGGGATGGACGTGGAAAAGGCTACGACCTCGCTAGTCATAGATAGTAGGGCTAGCCGCCTGCCGACCACGCCAGCAGTAACGCGAGGGTGCGAAGGACTCTGGAGCCTTAGGGAAAGAGTGTTGGGATGGTTTGACCCAGAAGGAACTACGAAAACCAGGGAGGGACAGAAGGCCGACAAGGAAGGTCCGGATAACAGTGTGACAAGCGAGGCCAGCAGCTCCGAGGGCGGCCTTAAGAAGATAGTGTCGTCCCTCGCGCGAGCACTAAACAAAAATCAAGGCTACCTAGAGGATGCTAAGAAAAAGTTGACGTTTGATGGGGCAAACATCACGCAATTCCTGATAGATTACGAGAACCTGACTGCGCTGTTGAAATGGACCGAAGAGGAGAAGATGGACCACCTGTGACAACATGTGTCTTTGAGCCTAGGACGGGACATAATGGCCATCGTAACCGCAAGCCGATCTTGGAAAGAAACCCGGGATGTGATGATGAGAAAGTATCTGGCAGCAGAAAAGATGGCAACGGAGACCGATTTAGCGGCAGTCCAGAGAAAAAACTTCGCAACGTACAATGACTTCCTACGGGAGTTTACCTTGGTAGCACTAAGAATCCCCACAGTTACGAATCGAATAATGAGTAAGTATTTCCTCAGACAGTTCTCCGAGTTCAACAAGGAGAAGATCCTGTCGGCTTACCAACAGACGAGCAAATTTGTAAACACCAGGGACGTTGATTTCAGTACGGTAACGGATCTGGCCGAAATGACGGTAGTGACCGAGACATTGGTCTTGCTTAAGGAAGGGGAGATTATAGATTTGACCAGTAGGACGGGCGACAAGGTGAAAAAGGGGATTGAAAGCCTACACGAACGGGTGCATGGAGTCGACAACAAGATTGAAAGGATGGAGAGCGCGCTACTAGTTATGCAGGCGCAAGTATCCCGTTCCCCCCTCTCGCCCCAGGAAGCAGTAGTTGCGCTAGGGGTGGCCAATCGTGGATTCGGACGGAGAGATCCCGCTAACGAGCAATGCAAGTATTGTACCGCTATAGGACATTATGTGTGCGAGTGCCCAAAGCTCAACCATGATATTCTAAAAAGAAGGTGTACCAGGTCATTAAAGGGGGAGATATTTGGACCACAAAGGGAACGGGTGAACTGAAACTCACCAAGAGGGATGCGGTGAGCCATTATCATGCTCAACGGGCTAGAAATAACAGTCGTAGAAGTCGAACCGGTGGGCGAGATCATCTGGGATCAACGCCAGGGGGCGGGCCGCGGGTCAATTTCATTTTGAAAAACGATGGACATGATAGGGTGAACGCGACTACTCGGCTAGGGACGGTTGGGAGAAGGATTAACCGTGACACCGTGATGGAAAAGGTTGCTGGAAGTTCGGAACCCCAGGCACAGCCTGAGGCCGAGGAACCGGAAAAGGTCTATAGGAAACCTAGGGAAGAGGAGCCTACAGACAAAGTTTCCGCTGCCAAGAAGAAATTTAGGTACCAAATCCCGATCTTATGCTTACCTGAGATCGACGACACCATTAGCAAGTTACTAGGGACCATGATGTCGGTGTCTTTTCAGACTATGCTGCAGGCTAGCCCTAGGTTGCTCAAAGGGCTTAGACAACTGTTGACTCGGCAGCGAGTAGAAATAGGCGACAACACCGAACTACCTGACGGGGAGAGGGAGGAGGAAGCTCCGCAAGAAGTAGCTAACCTTTAGAGGAGTCGCGGAGACTTGGAGGATCTCGAAAAAACTTTTGTGGACATTCGTTTGAGTTTGCCCGACCGAGAGGGCAGCGAGGTCATGAGGTCACCTCCCGGGACAAAGCTTAGCTTTCATGCACTGCCCGTAGGAAAGCTGAAAATCCAGATCGGGAGTCATCACACCGACGCATTAGTAGACGGGGGACCAGAAATCACTCTCATAAGGAGAGATTTCGCAACGAGCACGGGATGTACGGTAAACAAGGAAGTAACAGGGAGCATCCGGGGAGCTGGCGGGAAAATCCCGTTCGCTGGGTACGTCACGAAGTGTGCTGTGAAGGCATGGGTCAGGGAATCGATCTGGTCGTTTCAGCGGATGGCCGTAATGGAGGAAATGGACCACGACATAATCCTCGGGAGACCATGGTGCACGAACGTAGAGATGATAGGCATGCACTTGCACGATGGCTCGTACATGGTAGACATAGAGGACCCTGTGACCGGCGGGGGAGAGCTCCTCCGACTCCTTGGAACGGGAGGAGACCCCCCAAGGGGGAAATTGGCAACATGGTCGCCGTCATTCGAGGATAGCACGTGAAAAGAGGCTTTCGCACGGATGGAGGGTATGAGAGAAAGGGTAGAAATCATGATTGAGGAAGCGTTCAACAAGAAGGAGTGGATCAAGATGGGCCTGCCCCAAAAGAAGAGGAGGCAGGAGGACGAAGTCCTTGGTGTTATGGTAGTAGAAAAGGAGTCAGAGGTCGAACTTGGTGCTAGCCTGCCCAAACGGAAAGAAGTGCGCCTAGACATGTCGGAAATCGCACTCGAGATCCCCGATCTATTGCAACTCATCAAGGCCCTCAGATACCACAAGGTAGGGGTGGATTCGGCAGCCTTGGCCAAGTTCGAAAGAGGGGTGCAAAAGGGATATTGCCTGAATGAGAAATTAGTTAGTATTCAACCACGAGTCATAGAGGCGACGGGGCCAATTCCGGATGTTCATTTTTTAGGATAAAGATCTCGGAAGGAAGTGTTCGAAAGTACAAGCCGGTAGGGAAGAAAGCAAAACCGGTCTCGATCCTGCTAGAGACATCAAAGGAAGAGGCTATGGAGAAGGAGGAAGAGGTCCTTCGAGTGATCGGAGAAAGAAGGGCGACGGAGGGACATCGGATACCAGATGAGGTAGCGGGCACAATGAAGATAGGGATAGACGGGTTCTTAACGGAAGAAGAAAACCGCCTGATCAAAAGGACCTGCCAGGAATTTCATCTGGCGTTTGCCTTTAGTGATCACCAGAAGGGACGACTGAATGCGAAGTTGATCCCTCCGGTCAGAATCCACACGGTAGAACATGAGTGCTGGAATGACAAGGGGCCATCCTATGAATTTGGGATAGCGGGAGAGGTAACAGACCTCCTCCGAGCGAAGATGGACTCCTTCGTTGCGGAGCCTACAACATCGCCATATGGAAATCGGTGGTTCGTCTTTCGGAAGCCTAACAGGACACTAAGGTGGATTCAGGACCTGCAGAAGTTGAATGCGGTAACCATCCGAGATGCTGACTCGCTACCTCAGGCTGACTTATTAGCAGAATCACACGCCGGTCGGAGCATTTACTCCCTGATAGATCTGTATTCAGGGTACGACCAGCTTCCATTGGATGTTCGGGACAGGCCATACACCGCTATGCACACCCCCGTAGGCCAGCTACAGATGCAGGTGACACCTATGGGATTCACAAACGCGGTGGCCGAAGCGCAACGCAGGATGCTCGCCGTGGCCGGGGACATGTTCCCTGAAAAATGTGAACCTTACATCGATGACAATCCGATCAAATGCGCGCAGGAAAAGGACGAGACGGAAGTCCGGTCAGGGATCCGACGTTTTGTGTGGGACCACCTGCAAGACATCAAGGACTTACTCCGCTGGTTCCTAGTATACAACATTATGGCTAGTGGACCAAAGAGTATCCTAGCAGTACCGGAGGTGACTATACTAGGATTTCGTTGCGGTGCTTACAACAGGAAGCCGGATCCGGCAAAGACCGACAAGATATCACAGTGGCCGACGCCACTGCGCACGACGACGGAGGTAAGGGCATTCCTAGGCGTGGTCGACTTTTGGAGGATCTTTATTAAGAACTTTGCCAAGATCGTTGAGCCTATCCGGGCTATGATCAGGGAAGAAGGAACCATGGATTTGACGGAGGAGCGGGAAGGAGCTGTCCAAAGACTCAAGGACATATTGACATCTGAGACAGTCGCTCTGTCCGCGCCTTGTTTTAATGACGAAGTGGGACGACCCTTCATCCTAGAGACAGATGGAGGACCTTTGGCTGTAGGAGGTGTATTGATCCAAGGGGATGGGGGAGGAAAAGAGAGGTCGATTAGGTTCGAAAGTAGAACCCTGAACTCCGCAGAACGGCGGTACTCGCAATTCAAGAAGGAAGTTCTGCATTGCCTTAAGACCTTTCAGGCCTACACATTTGGGAGGCGGTTCATCTTAAGGATCGACCCGACGAATGTCGCAGGGGCCCTAAAGAATTACAGGCCTATAGATCCGACGGTAGGGAGATGGGTAGGATTCATCTGGCAGTTCGATTACAAGATCGAACGGATTGCTGGAATCCGCAACAAGGCAGATGGACTGAGTCGGGTTTGCATCACTCCCGAAGGGATGGAGGATGCAGAGCCCATAGACACCTTTCTCGAATACGAAGGAGGAACTCTTGCGGTGGACAACGAGATGATGAGCGGAGAATGCACATCGGGAGAACTATTGATCCAGACTTTGGATAAAGGGGCACCTGCCGTAGTAGCAGAACTTAGAGAAGGACCAGTTACCACTCGAGGACGCAGAGAAGAAAATGACTCATGGGGAGCGATAGTAGGACCGAAAGAGGAACTGATAGCAATGGCGGTCGAAGGGGGCCAGGAGGCAGTGATGAGCTTAGTGGAATCAAGGGAAAGGAAAGAGTTGCAACAAGTAGTAAATCAGATGCAGGAAGGAAAGGATGGGGGCAAGGAAGGAGATAAGTTTTTCTATGTCCAATCATACGAAGGGCTCTTTCGGGAGATCGGGTTGTTGTTGGTAGGAAACAAACAACCTACGAAAGTCAATATTAAGGCAAGAGAAGAAGCCGAAAGGTACGTCATAAGGGGCGGGCATTTGTTCCGGAGGGAGGAAGGTGTTATGCCCAGAAGGGTTGTGTGCGGAAGGTCTAGGCAAGTAAACGTTATCCAGGCAATGCACGACGGGTTAGCTGGAGGTCATCGGTCTTCCAAAAGAACACTTGCAAAGATAACGCCGCTCTATTATTGGCCAGGCATGGCAGACATGATCGCCATATACTGCCAGACTTGCCTCATTTGCCAAGAACGAAGCTCGGTACGAGTCTTCGAGCCGCTTAGACCAACGCGGGTGCTAGGGCCGGGACATCTGGTCCACCTCGACCTTGCGGTCATGCCTGTATCAACGGATGGGTACAAGTATATCCTGGATGCGCGAGACAACTTGCGTGGGTTCGTAGAGGCAGTCGCCCTCAAGAAAAAGATAGGGAGAAGTGTGGCGGACTGGATAGAAGACTTCTACTTAAGGCACTCGTTCGTCAGGAGGTTTATAGCAGACAATGGGATGAAATTTGTGAACCACGAAGTATTGGGGATGCTTAAGAGACTCTGCGTACCGATTAAACTCATCGAGCCGTATCACCCTGAGGCCAATGCACCAGTGGAAAGGGGGCACCGAACCTTGAAGAACACGATTGCAAAGCTCGCAGCAGACCATCTGGGGAACTGGCCTAAGTATCTTAAGCACGCTGTCTTCGCAGAGAATATGACTCCTAAAAGGACAACAGGATGTATCCCGGCAGAGCTTTGGTACGGAAGAGAGATCGACTTTCCTGTGGAAGCCTTGGTACCTACCTGGAATAGGTTAGATGATGATCCGCAAATTACCACTGAAGAGTTAATCGAGGAAACATGTCAACAAATCCTTAAGAATGAGGAGGTCGTGGAAGACATCGTCAGCCGGGTGCTGGACAGCAGAATGAGGGACAAAGCAAGATGGGACCACGTTAAGAATGTCAGAAAGGAGCCACTTCAGGTGGGGGAGATGGTACTGCTAAGGAACTCGGCACTAGAAAGTACTTGGCCGGGACAGTTGGGAAAGAGATTCAAAGGCCCCTGCCGGGTCGCCAAGCGGGTGGGACTGAACACCTTCGAACTGGAAGATTTGGATGGGACTGTATTGAAAGGGCCCTTCCCGGGGCAATGACTGGTCAGGTTTCTAAGTCGGGACCCAGTGAAACAATGGCTTCAGGAGGCCGAAGATAAGGAAACAGAAGAGCCACAAGCTAAAGACTAACCACAGCCTTGCTCACACTATGGTTTGTCTCTGACCTTGTTCGTGGGACTGTCATTTTTTTTTGGGACTGGTGCTTTGGCTTGGACTGACTGAGGTTGAAAGGTAGCATGACTTGGGGGTTGCAATATCTGGCTTGTGTGAGAACGAGAAGGGATGTTTGGGGCATTGTACCATAGTTTTTGACAGGAAAAATATGGGGCCATCACAAACAACGCATTCGCATGTATAAAGAGGGCGTGATGCGAGGGATACTGGGTGCATTTTGGGAATGTCTACCGGCCTAAGGGGGGGGGAGGCGTAAGTGTATGAGGGACATTGCGGGTGTTGTTTTGTTATATAGGGCTTGGGAGTAAAACGAGAAAAGATAAAAATGGAAATCGGCAACGAGAACGGCAGCGGGGTAATCAACAGGCTTACCGGAGGGGAAGAAGTTGGACCAAGCCGAGGGAGGAGGACAGCGAAGAGAAAATTGTACATTGGGCTCATGGGCGGGCCAATGGTAGGCAGGGGTGGAAAAAAATGTTTGTGTAGGAAACCCTCACCCCTCCGCAAGGGAGAAGGTATAGAAATATCATCTGACAATGAGGGCGAAAAGAGAAGGGTAAATGTGGAAGAAGGAGGCAACACAGAAATGGGAGATAAGGCTCGGGTCTCTAACGAGGAAGGGGCCAATAGGGGCGAACGGCGTGAGACTTGGCATGGGGAAAGCGAGGGGGGACAAGGTATGCATGACGAACGTGAGGAGGACGAGGAGAAAAGGGAGAGCCCGCTTGAAGGACAAAGCGGTCACGGCAGTTGCGAGGGGTATGGGACGGGGACAAAGATCCCTTTTACCTACGATCCAAAGAACCTTGCTGGTGGTTATAGCCCCATACAGACTGAAGACGAGGGGGACGAGGAGGAGGATGTGCGAGAAGTTATAGAAATCAGCAGCGGGGACGAGATGGATGAAATCTCAAGGCCTAGGGAAGAGGGGCGGCCTCCGATGCACCAGCCAGGCGATGGGGCTTTCAGATGGGAGGACGAGTTCGGGCCAACGCCCAGTCATTGGTTTCAGCAATGGACCAATGTAATCAGGCACGAATGGATTATCAAGACTCGGGCACTCGCAAGGGCAGGGGTGGAAGCCACACCACTGGATTTTTTCAACGAGGCTGGGTTGCATAAAATTGTAAGGATGAAAAGAGAGATCGAGACCTACGGCCTGGGGGTTAGGAAGCCTGCCGAGGAACGGAGTGGACAAGGAACTAGGCGAGACGAGGCGCAAGGCAGTAATAGGAACTAGGTGTTGGCTTAGCATTGAAAATGATCGCTGCTTTTTGTCTGCAGAGATATGAGAATGACGAGAACGTGTATAATATGGGCAAACTTGCTGAGGAAGTGAAAAGAGAGTCAGCTAAGGCTGTGTCACGCTAAAGTAGAAGATAGTTGTTGAGGCTACTTTTGGATGAGCTACCTTGGGTACCTAAAACAAAGACATGGGAATTGGGATGAGACCAATTGGGAGAGGGCGTATTGTGTATTTTGGATGGAACAAGGATTATGTTTTTGAGAGAGGAAAACCTTGAGTACGGATTGAAGAGCAAACCATGGCATTGAATGATTGGTCGAGTACAAGAGAGGTTAGGGAACCTATGGGTTAAGGGGCGTGAAGAACACTCCTTCCCTAGGAGCCTAATCCAACTGAGTCATGAATAAGACTGAGAATAGCCGAAACCTGAGAGATCAGGAAGAGTGAAAATGGAAGGGGCGTTTTTGTCTTTTGTTATGGATGAACGGTCGGGTGGGTTAGTGCTGCTTGGGGTCGCGAGCCCCAACTCGAGTGTTAGACGCTAAGTCGAGTGTACACAATGGATGGTACATTACTGTGAGAAATGAAATGGATGGTACATTACTGTGAGAAATGAAATGGATGGTACATTACTGTGAGAAATGGAAGGAAGAGAACAACACGCAAAAGATGAGATGACCACCTTCTAACCTCCAAGACAGAAATGAGATCCGTAACCTCGAGGCCCACCCCCTCGGGCACTAACATTGAGAATGAAAAAGAATGGCCCTAACCAGGCTGTTCGACTTGAGAATGGAAAGGAATGACCCTAACCAGGCTGTTCGACTTGAGAATGAAAAAGAATGACCCTAACCAGGCTGTTCGACTTGAGAATAGATAAGAACGACCCTAACCGAGTTGTTCGGGAATGGCACCTAACAAGGGTCATTCCTTTTGAAATAGGCACTGGGGTCCCTTGCATATTGGATTAAGAAAGGTTGATTGAGAAAGGTTGATTGAGAAAGGCTGATTGAGAATGTGTTGGAATGAGAGAGATGGAAAGGTCGGTGGGACGGTCATTGAAATAGCCAATGGGATGAGAGAAATGGAAAAGGTCGGTGGGTCGGTCGTTGAAATAGCCAATGAGTTGAATGGAGGAAATGGAAAAGGTCGGTGGGTCGGCCACTTAAAATTGCAAAGGGGGCGGAAGGAAAATGCGAAAGAGAAGGACAAGATAAAGAATGCAGAGCCTTAAAGCCGAGAAGGGCAGGGACCGTTGGGACGGTCACAGAAATTGGGTGTTAAGGAATGAGAAAATTGAGGATTGAGTAAGCAGAAGGGTTAGTCTTGAGAATGGCTATTGAGAGAATGACCGTCAGACTGGCCATGGGGATGACCTTGTTGATAGGAGGCTGTCAGACCAGCCATGAGAATCAGCCTTGGAAGTAGCACTGGATTGAATGATTGAGGATTGAATATTGCATTGCATAGGCAGGGGACCCTAGGCAACTTGAAATGGACTTGGAAATAGCATTGAAATGGATTTTCTCTTTTCCTAGTCTTTGGCCTCATCAGGAGGGGGATACCGGTGCTCGCACCGCGACCCCATATATCCCTGTAAGGGAAAAAGTCTCAGCGCAACCTGTTCCTCTTGTAAGGGGATGAGGGTTAAAGGACCAAGGCACCTACCACTTGGATCGGTGCGGGACGTCCGGAATTGACCCCGACAACGAGCTCTAGTCGGAAAGTTCAAATTGCGCATCGGGTTGAACGCCTAAACGTCAAAGAGTGAGGGAACCAAATGGGCAAGAGAGCCATTCTTTTTTTTCTAGTCTCTTTTGTTCTCCCCAACCACATGCCATGTCGTTGAGGGGTGGCATTGCCGCTTGGAATGGATCACGGCGGCTCGCGTTAAGTTGAGCAGCATTGTCCAGAAGGGAGGAGTTGGGCGTGGTACCGGGTGGAAGCCACAACCACCACGGGGCGAGTGACACCGCCCCGCCGGGGCATTACAACCACTTCGGGACTAATTGCGAGGTCTTCGTAACTGCACTCGTGGACTAATTGAGAGTCCCAACTCTTTTGAAAGGAAGAGGTCGGATCCAAAAAATTACCACTCGGGAGGAAAAATTCGCGAGGAAGCCCTTACGGCAAGACGGGGTCCTGGGAGGCTTGGACTGGACCTGCCTTCCAGATGTGAGGAGGTACCTCAGTAATGGCGTCCGTCTCGTAAGCAGCAAAAGGTCGGACGGAGTGAGGGGATGAGGTGAGTTATCAGCAGGGGGAGGACTGATCACCCTTCCTTTTTGGGGTTGATGGGCCGGCATCCGCCTACTCGTTGGTGGGCCAAAGGTTGCGTACCTCCGAGTGAGAACTAGTTGTGCGATGGGGACATCGCATTTTGAGTGGGGGGAAGGTGTGTCATCTACCAAAGAAAAAGCGTGCAAAAGAGAAGGGTACCATGAGCGTAAGAATGAATGAGTAATCGACTTTGCGCAGGCTTGATAAAAAATCTGGCAAGATGTCCAGAAGAAAAGAATGAATGAGTAATTAACGTTGCACGAGCTTGAGAAAAAGGTCTGGCAAGATGTCCAGAAGAGAAGAATGGATGACTAATTGACTTTGTGCAGGCTTGAGAAAAGGTCTGGCAAGATGTCAAAAAGAGAAATGGGTGAGAAATTGACGTTGCATGAGCTTGAGAAAAGGCCTGGCAAGCGACTTGTGTGATTGATTTGGCATAAGCTTGAAAATGGGCCAAGTAAAACGTCTGGAAAAAAAAAGACTCGTATGATGGACTATGTATGGATCTGAAAGAAAGACTGGCAGGCTGGGAAACAGATGAGCATTTGGGTTGCATGACTCTGAGAAAAAGGTCTGACAAGGTGTCTGAAAGAGAGATGCACAAGGGATGAACTGGACTATGTATGGATCTGAGAGAAAGACCGGCAGACTGAGAAACAGATGAGCATTTGGGTTGCATGAGTCTGAGAAAAAGGTCTGACAAGGTGTCTGAAAGACAGATCACAAGGGATGAACTGGGCAGCATGCATGAAAAAGTTAAAAATAAGCAAGAAACAAGAAAGGACAACGAGTGATATGAATGCAAAATTGGCAGGACCTGAGGAAAGTCGGGCGAAAGGACCCGGGGGAGATGCATGTGGATTTGGCAAGGCCTAAGCGTCGACGAACAGTAAAGGGAAAACATGGATTGCACGGGCCGAAAAGTAGATTATTTTTTTATATGAGAGTAATGAATGAGGCAAGACCAAAATAGTTTCTGCTCAAGAATGCTTCCTCGATGAAATGGGAAGACAAATTTGAGATTACAAAGCACTTAAGGGGAGTTGTATCTGGGCTCACCGATTCGAAGTGGGTATCACCACGGCAAAAACGACGGTTGTATTAGACGAACATCTCCCTTCCGGAGCAAATGCCTGACATTGAGTCGCATCCAAAAACTTGCCTACAATTTGTTATCAACAAAGCCAAGGCATAAAATGAGAAAACCAATTGTGTTATCACAACAAATTGTCACCCTGGGAATAAAGCAAGCATACCAGTAGTTAAGCGCATGAAGCAAGGAGAGCCTCATCTGCTTCATGTTACTGAAGGCGAAAGAATTATGGGTTGTCCTGCTGAGTATACAGAGTTGACTGAAGAAGAAGTTAACATCTCGATTGAGGGAAAGATAAAGAGGCAGAGCTATGATGGAAATGAGCAACCTGG